TTTTTGCTTATGTGGTGCTGAGGAATCAAACCCAGGGCCTCAGGCATGCAAGGCAAGCGCTCTACCACTGAGCCACCTTCCCAGCCCCTGTATTTTCATATTAGAGGAGATAAGTGAAGTAAAAGAGGGAACATGGATATACCCTTTGATGGTATATTGGGAATTGGGGGCTTCTTGTTTCAATGATTGCTCACAGATGTACATAGTATCATTACATAAGTTTTTTTTCCTCCTTTTTTCTTTTTTATTGTTATTCTTTGAGATAAGGTCTTGTTATGCAGTCTAGGCTAGCCTGAACTGATGATCCTCCTGCCTCTGACTCCCAAATGCTGGTATTACAGACACACATCATGACCTTCAGCCCATTGGATGAGTTCTGATGAATTCAAGACAGATAGGAGTAGATGATTTCAGGGTTGGGATAGCAAGTGCAGAGTGTCTGGAGTTTTGCATCACCTTCAAGCGATGTTGAGAGTGATGTTGGAGCACTGTTTTGAATAATGCCCCTATTTTCTCCTGGAAACAAATAAAATGGAATTGTAATGATAGGAAAATGGGTTGGAAGGTAAATGGAAATGGTGTAAAGACCAAGAAAACCTCAAATTTTCAATTATGTTTTCATTCCTTGATAAAAGACAAAATAAATAGACATAAATATTAACAACAAAATGTGAATGTTAGTAGTAGAAATTATTGTATTTAATACATGAGACATTTTAGAAATATTGTTGAATGCATGTATTTCGGTTTTGAGATCTGTCCACCAATCACACAAAACTCAATACAAAGTGTTATGAGAGTATGGAAAAGGGGATAGAGTGCGGTGGGGAATATTTCAGACAACCTTTAATCAACACAGTGGGTTTTGATCTGTGTAGATCTACACCACATGTGTAGATCATGTGGAAAATCTGGGGAGCAATCTGGACAGTTCTACCTCCATTTTGCCTTAACACTTAATATTCTGGGTGAGTACCCAAATAATGACCTTAAACTTTTGTCTCTTCAAGTAACAGAAATATTCAGTTTCTCCTCACAATATTGTCATTTATTGTGGAATTTTTATTTCCGTCTACTGACATGTTTTTGTCTCTTGCGCAAGCAAAGTGTTATGGATTGGAGAACATACAGATAGTCTCGGCAGATTCTCCCATGATTATTGTAATTTGTCTGATATCAAATTTTAGTGGAAGCGAAAGTGAGAAACGTGTCTTCTACATAGGACTGCATCATTTCACAGAGATGTCCAGCTGCGGGCGTGGATGAACTCGTACCCCCCACCTTCACCATGAGCAGCATTGCTGCTCTTCTGCCTGGCTAAGGATTGGGACAGAGATCACTGAGTTTCGCGTCCGTACCACGGTCATCTCAATATTCTATTTAAAAAAAAAAGCGGAGAGTGCTTGAAAGATTTGATTCCAGGGAAATGCCGACCCCCTAGGCAGAATCGGTGAGAGGAAGTCGGCTCTCCCTTGGGTTCTCCCCGGGCGAGTCCGAGGCGGGGTCTTCAATGGCGTCTTAAAGCCGGCTGGCGAGTGGCAGGGGTGAGGGTGTAGCAGCTAGTGCTGAGATTCCGAGCTGCCGCCGTGGGAGGAGGAACCGAACGGTCCGGGATCCGCCGTCCAATCGGAGAGGTCTGGGGCGAGGCCTGAGGGTGTGGCCTGCTACAAGACTTAAAAAGACCCGCGCGGAACCGTTCAGCTACCCAACCGGCTCCGAGCCAGCCAGCGTTCTACTCCTGCCAGCGTCCTCAAGGGAGCCACCAGGCCTCCAGGTGAGAACGCGTGGTCCGGTCGGAGTCGGGGACCGTGAGGACGGGAGGGCGCGCGGGGCATGTGCGGGATTTGGGGAGGAGGAGGCGGCGGTCCGGGCCGATGTTTCGCGTCTGCGCGGCGGGTGGGTCGTGTGAGAGGCCGCGCCTTTGTTTCCTCGGGCGCAGCCTCCAGGTTTTCAGTTAAGGATGCTGAGCCTCCCGGGCGTCCCCGGACGGCCGGAGCCGTCCAGCCCTGTCGCTGCAGTTCCCAGACGGGGAGGACCCGGAGGAGGGTTGGGGCTACTCTGGAAGGGCTTTCAGGGTCTTGGCCCTTGGCTTCTTCACCCCCATTGGGCTAAGGCACACGACAGCGATAACAGGTACTTTGAAATGCACGCAAACTGCTCCTGACCGCCCGCCCTGCCATGATTCTGTTAATCCCAGGTTCGCCAGCGTTTCCTTTGGCGTCTGATCGCAGAAACAAGACTCTTGGGGCAGCCTTGACTGGACGGGGGCGAGTTTGGAACTTGTGGCTGCTTGGGGTCCTCTCCACTCTACCCTGGGCACTGGCCCTGCCTTCTCCCACCAGGGTGGGGCGAGGCATGCAGAGGAGAGAGCTTTCCCCTCTGGTGTGTGTGGGCTCCTATTGTCTCTTCTGAGCAAACCCGGAATGATTGGTGGTCACCAAACGTCTCGTGCCCACAGCCAGGCAGCTTACCTTCTTGCCTCTTACCGTGTACCAAGAACACAGGGTGAAATGAGACAACTCATTCTGCTGAAGTCTCACTTCAGATCCTAATTAGCTATTCTTTCTAATAGCATTTACAAACCAGTGACACCAAGATTGCATATCATGTGTAATTGGTTAGACTGAATTAAATACCTCCTTTTACTGTAGCATCTTAGTCTATGGTCTTTGGACATTTAAAATAGAAAGAAATTAGTTCAACTGTGTGTGTATGTGTGTTGCTGTTTTTCACTCAGAAAATGCAAAAAAAAAACCCTGTAATTGAATAGAAAGTGAAGATACTCAAATAGTTCTACCCTCTATTATCACACAATTCAGCCCTTGTGGTAAGCCTCCTCCTCCTTACCCTTATCTTCATCCTCGATCTTCTGTCCTTATCTACTCTGGTGCTTCTGTCCCCTCCATTTCAGAATTGCTGTGATTTTAGAAGTCAGACATATTGGCTCTGGGCTTATTGGGCGTCATAATTTTAGTGTATATTAATTCATCATCACTGCCTACCAAAAGTAATTATGTGAAATTGAGAATATTCTAATAAAAACGAGACTTTTCTAAGGTTGATTTCTGTTTCCTGTTAAAATAAGCAAAAAAATATACATTGTTATTAAATGAGATAATATTTTACTTTTGCCTCTGGATCTGATGATTGTTCTGAATAACCTTAAAATTTGATTTTTCACTGTTTTAGTCAAGATGAGTGATAAGCCAGACATGTCCGAAGTGGAGAAGTTTGACAGAACAAAACTGAAGAAAACTAATACTGAGGAAAAAAACACTCTTCCTTCAAAGGAAAGTAAGTCATGTAGGATTTCTAGTTGAATCAAACAATGGGCAAAGTTAATCTGTAAATAAGCCTATCAGTTTTGTTCTCCAGAATTTCTCAAGGAAGATTTCTAGACAAACAATATATTCACAGATGCTGCAGAAAACTTTTTGTTATGTCAACATTATTTGAGAACTCCAAAGTAAGTCAAAATTATTGAAAAATGGGCTGGGAAGGTGGCTCAGTGGTAGAGCCCTTGCCTTGCATGCCTGAGGTCCTGGGTTCAATTCCTCAGCACCACATGAGCAAAAAGAAAAAAGCCGGAAGTGGCGCTGTGGCTCAAGTGGTAGAGTGCTAATCTTGAGCTGAAGAGCTGAGAGACAGCGCCCAGGCCCAGAGTTCAGGCCCCACAACTGGACCCCCAAAAAATTATTGAACAGCATAATTTGGGGGCTGGGAAGGTGGCTCAGTGGTAGACGCTTGCATGCATGAGGCCCTGATTTTGATTCCTCAGCACCACATAAGCAGGAAAAAAAAAGCTAGAAGTGGAGCTATGGCTCAAGTGGTAGTGTGTTAGCCTTGAGCTGAAGAGCTGAGGGACAGCACCCAGGCTCAGAGTTCAGGCCCCACGATCGGACCCCCCAAAAAAAGAAAAGCATAATTTGCTTATTGTTTTGATACATTTGACAAAATTATTTGTTTTACTTTTCAAATTTACATAGTCTATGGGAAAATGGAAACAGTGCAAAAAAACCATAGTTGATGTGAATTCTAATGAATCTTGAGATAGTTTACATTCATGCACAAGGATTTCTAGTAATGATTTCTGTTTGTAAATTTAAAGCAGGTATCATAGCATTCAGTGACTAATTCCTTTCTAATAATTTTAGGGATCAAACCCAGGACCTGTGCATGCCAGGCAAGCACTCTACCACTAAGCTATTACTCCCCCCTGCCAGTCTGGTAGCAAAGAGCTCTTTTGCAAAAAACAAATTAATCTTATGAGAACGTTATTCTTATGACTTCTTATTTTGTTTTTCTCCCCAGCTATCCAGCAGGAGAAAGAGTGTGATCAAACATCCTAAAATGCAGATTGCCTCTCAAGAGCAAGCTTCAACATCACCTGACATTCTTGCTTAATTTAGGCTTATTTCTGTAAAACTATGTGTTTGTGGAGACTTGAGGTACCTGTAGATGATTTCTCTTCTATATTCCCTGGCTAAGAGGTCAACAGTAGCCAGTGTCCCCTTAAATTTGTTTTTAAATTGAAATTTCAGATGGTAGATGACATGCTGTCAGTAATCTCACTATTGATGACCTTTGTGGGTGTGGTCCTTGTGCCCCCTACAGAGTGAGTCGGTTTAACCTATAATGGGTGCCTTCTGCTTCATAATTTTGTAGTCTCTTAATTTTCATTTACAATAAAGCATTAAAAATATAGTCATAATCTTCCCGTGGTTTATTCTTAGTGGTCTTCTTAGGAATTAACAGTACATAAGTGTACCCTTTCAGCTAACCAAAATGGTTGAAGAAAACTATTAACAGATGAGTCATGTGGGAAATAGTCTTTTTGCCTATTCACCTCCCCAGGAACTTTGTTGGACCTTGATCAGATACTTCCAACATCTACAATTCTGAAGAAATGAATTTAATCCAACTATATTATTATAACAGTTCAAACTGGCAATGCAACAAGGGGTGCGTAGAAATGAGCATGTTCCAAATCCCTGTCCTTAGATAATGCTATTCTCAGTTTAAATTTAGAAAAGCCAACATCCTATAATTCAGTTATATGTCATATTTATAAATATAAACATTATGGGCCTATTACTGCAGAATATTTATTTACTTATTTTTGGTGATACTGGGTGTTAAGCTCAGGACCTCTCCCTTGCCAGGCTGCTTCTCAACCACTGAGCTACAGACTAAATTTATGTTTGTCCACAATGACTTTTTGTATGTGCCAATGATGGGGCTTGAACTCAAGGGCTGTCCCTGAACTTGTTGATGAAGGCCAATGCTCTACCATTTCAGCCACAGCTCCATCTGGCTTTTGTGTGGTTAGTTGGAGATTAGAGTTGGAGTTCCTGTCCGAGCTTATCTCAGATGTTAGCCACTAGTACCCAGTTACAATGATTATTTTTGAGACAAGAGTCTCACTACCTGCTTGAGCACTCACCTGAACCAAACTCTGCCGATTTCCATTTCCCCTGAAGCTGTTTGTGCTACCTGCCAAGAAGGTAATCTCTCATTTTGCCTGGGAATTATCTTGAACATGATCTTTGTACCTCAGCCTCCCAAGCAGTTAAGATTGTAAGTGTGAGCCACTGTGCCTGATGACCAGGATCTTTATTTAAAAAAAAGTACTATGGCCGGCCCCGGTGACTCACACCTGTAATCCTAGCTACTCAGGAGGCTGAGATCTCAGGATCACGGTTCAAAGCCAAGCCCGGGCAGGAAAGTCTGTGAAACTCTTATCTCCAATAAACACTCAGAAAACTGGAAGTGGCCCTGTAGCTCAAGTGGTAGAGCGCTCGCCTTGAGCTGAAGAGCTGAGAGACAGCATTCAGGCCCAGAGTTCAAGCCCCATAGCCAACAACAAAAAAAAAAGTACTATGGCCAGGCACCAGAGCTCATGCTGGTAATCCTAGCTACTTAGGAGCCTGAGATCTAAGGATTGAGGTTCAAAGCCAGTCCAGGTAGGAAAGTCCGTGACTTTATCTCCATTTAACCACTAAAAAGCTAGAAATGGAGCTGTGGCTCAAGTGGTAGAGTGTTAGCCTTGAGCAGAAAAGCTCAGGGACAGTGCCCAAGCACTAAGTTCAAGCCCTAGGCCTGGCACACACAAAAAAAGTACTATGTCAAATGAACCTAGTCATTGTGCCTCTCTGTTCCTGTCCCAAGAGTGTCTCTTGTATTTTCTTATCTCCCTTTCCTAAAGGGTCATTTCCTTATATTTTTGCTGAGGTTAAAGAAAATGGAAGCTCTTTGATGTACTTTATTGTAAACTTCCACAAGCAAAATGGTAGGAAGGCCAACTTTGTTCAAGTACTGATGAGGCTACTAAAAATCACAGGATTTAGTGTAGCTATCGAGAATTTGGACCTTAGAAGAAACTATGTTGGCCAGCAGTACTTTATCTTCTACCTATAGCATCATTCTATTAAGTCACTTAGCCCTTTGCAGGGTTGTACTGCTTTCATTGTGTTCAACCATGTAACTTCTGTCCAATAATCATAGACTTCATACTGAAAGACTTACACAGTGTAATCATTTTCCAGTATTTAAAATCAAATATTGTGTGCTTGTACTTTTAAATCTTCCCTGATGACACTTCCTATATCCATCCATTGGATCCAAGTTACACAGATGGGGAACCAATCTTGGTTGTAGATATGCTTTTCATCAGATCTCTGGATCCTGATTCTGTCATCCAACACATTTACTCTCTTTTCAGTTTTTCCATTTGTAAGTTTCATAATGATACTATGCATTCATAACCGATTTAATCTCTACAGCTTCACACTAATCCAGTTTAAGACTGGGCCTGTTTCAAAGGGTATAAAGGAAAGCATGAATGTTGTCAGGTGAACAAGAATGGGCAGTAACTCCTAGTGCTTAGTTGTACCTAGTAGTGCATGTAGTAACCATACTGCTTATTCAAGTATTTAATTACCACTGGGCAGTATAAGTGCCAGGGTGTGTGTGTTGGTAGGAGGCAGATGAGCAGTACATGGCAAGAGGTGAGAGATGCACCCGATAACACAGAAACATGATGGGAAAAACATGGTTTCTCTGTGGAGTATTTTCCCCTTACATTAAAAAAATTATTTTATTAGCATATATTATTTGTGCAGGGGATTTCATTGTGACATTTTCATAAATTCCTATTATGTACCCAATTCAAATGCCACCATCACACATCTAATCCACTTCTCTCTCTTTCTTAAAATAACTTCAACTGATTTTTTATTGGTAAATTAATATATATATATTACTTAGTATTTAGTCTCTTTTACTTTCTCAATTTCTTAAATACATAATGTGGGGGCATTTTTTCTTCCTACTGGGATCATTTGCCTTTCCAATCCAATATGTTTTCAATAGCCTCTATACCTGTAAATGAAAATATACTGCTGTGAATCCATTTATTTGCAAAAAACAACATCATTAAGGCCTTGTAAGAGTTACACTTACAATGAAAGGAAAAGGGCATAACCTGATGGCAGGACCTAGTGTAGAACTAGGCATGCTATATAGTAGAGTTGCATTTGATAAGTGAAGAAACAAACCCAGAGAGGAAACGAGATATTATTTAGGTTGAACAGGAAACAGTTATTGCTCAATATGCAAAGAAGGTAGTTTCACTCAAGGTGTGATAATTATTTGCAATGATGTTTAGAACTTCTCAATATGTAGTCCCTGAACTACAAACATCAGACTGACCCTTAATGGTTTGTGTGTATTCCTAGGCTCTTTTTCTAGATATTAAGGTTCAGTTAGGATGTTCTATTGTCATGGTCTGACAAAGTTAAACTTTGTATTATTATTACTTCTCTCTTTCTCTCCCCAACATATACTCACATCTGGCACCCTACACTTGAACTATACCTCTAATTTTGGACTTTTTGCTGGTTAACTGGAGATTAGATTCTCATGGATTTATCTGCCTAGGCTAGCTTTGAGACTCAATCCTCAGAGTTCAGCTTCCTGAGTTGCCAAGATTAGAGGCATGAGCCACTAGCTTCAAACCTACTTCTCTCCTTTGATGATGTATCACAATCTTTGGGTGCATGACAATCTTTTCCTTCCAACATCTGGATTCTGGGTCTCATGTAGAAAATTTATTTCTAAAAAATTAATATATAGAAGCAGGGAGATGATGGCTCACGCTTGTAATCCTTGCTATTTAGGAGGCTGGGATATGAGGATTGTGGTTCAAAGCCAGCCCAGGCAGGAAAGTCCATGAGACTTATGTCCAATTAACCACCCAAAATCCAGTGGAGCTGTGTCTCAAACGGTAGAGTACTAGCCTGTGGACAAAAGCTCAGGGATAATGCCCAGGTCTCAAGTTCAAGCTGCACAAATGACAAAAAAAATAGTATATAGATGAAATGGAGTAGACTGCAGGACTTTTGCTTTAGGTCAATATTCTTCGAGTACTGTATCTGGGACAGCAGCATTAGCATCATCTGTGAACCTGTCAGAAATACAAATTTTCAGGCTGCCCTCCAGATGTAATAATCAGAAATTAGGAGAATCTGACCCAGAGATATGTTTTAACATGTTTTTCAGATGATTTTAGTGATACATATTTCTGCTTTAGATAAATGATTTGTTGCTGAGATTGTTTTTAGGACTAGATTATAATATAAAACTTTGTCAAACATTTCAGAAATTATAAAGACAATTCTTCAATTCAGCAGGCATTTATCAAGAGTTTACTGTATCTAAGCTAAGCATAGTGGTAAACGCCCATAGTATCAGCACTAGGGAAACTCAGACAGGAAAATTGGGTTGCATTGTAGATTACATAGTGGGTTACAAAGTGAGTTCCAATCTATGCTAGACCTAGGCTACATAGCAAAAGGTTTATCTAAGGTCATATGGAGACATTCAAGAATTGAGTAACAGATACTTGTTTTTCAGGGACTTACAATCTCGCAGAAGTATTGGATAAATAGGAATATAAATGAGTGGTTGGCTCTGTAACCAAATGAAGTATATAAAGTAGATTGAAAAGGAGAGGCACATCATAGACTGTACATCAAAGTTTTTTTTGATCCTTTCTCTATAATATTATCCTGTTCCTTCAAGGTGTACCAACCAGCCTGGCTTACATAGTGAGTTCAAGGATAGTCTAACCCTAGGCCACAAACCAAAAAGTTATGTCTAAGTCATTTGTCAAGAATGTATTATATCTGAGAAAATTTTAAGTGGAAGAATATATGTGAAGGTGACTAGGAAAATGATGTATTATTACTATCACCACTATTATTGTAGATAAAGAGAATACAATTTTTCTTTACATTTTGTCTTTGCTTTTCAGTGAAAGTGGAGAGAAATCATTCATCCAAACCAAGCCTCGACCTTTCCCACTTCCCACTTCCCACCCAGAAACAGATTTCATTAGATGAAAACTATCTATGGCTTTTTCTTTGATACTTGGCCATTTCAGTGGTCTGAACCTAATTTGCTGTTATCTAGTAATCATCATATTATGCACATGTTAGTTTCGGTCTTGAGATAGTACTGGAACAATGTTTGAAATCCAGAGTTTTCTTCTCTCAGCCCCTTCCAGGGCACAGAAGTTTCTAGTTTCACTAATCTGGCGTTTAACATGATGTTTAATCTTTTTTCCTTGTTTTTCTT